GAGGCTTCACGTCTGGAGGGCAGGACAGACCCACAGACTCAGTGAGGCGTGAGGCTTCACGTCTGGAGGGCAGGACAGACCCACAGACTCAGTGGCCCCCTGTCCTCGTCGCATCTGGGAGGGGCGCTGGCTGCTCTGGCTTCTCAGTTTGCTTCCTGTTAACGCCTGAGTCTTGCCCTGTAATTATTATTTTTACTTTTGCTGCCGTCTCATCTGTGTTGTCTTAGGTAGTAGCATCAGTGAGCCCCACACTTGTGTTTTGCACGTGGTCAACCATGTGCACACAGCTCAGGAATGCGTACGGTATTTGCTCAGCACAGGCACAAGAGCGCTGTGTTCCTGGGCCCCCTCACTTGTACAGGGGGCCCACAGCCACCTTCGTCCTGACACACTCAGCATCATGCCCTCTGTTCCAGAAGGTGCAGGTAGGTGGCAGAGGCCTCTGGGCGCCACTGGGGAGGGAGGCGCCTGCCAGCGAGGTCCTCGCACTCCAGACGACCTGAGTTCTGACCCGACAGTGGGGCTGCAATGCACAGACTGCAAAGCTTGTATAAAATAGGACTGGAAACGGAATGATCTGGCTCCTCTGAATTGCTGTTCTCTATCGCCTTTCACGGTGTATCAGAAAAAGTTCCAACAAAAGTCTGATTCCTCGGCCCACCCTCTGTGCCCCCGTGCTTGGTGTTCTATTACCAGCGGTAGTGCATTCGTGAAGGGGACTCTGGGGACTCATGGTGACCTTGTCTTTCTGAGGTTTCTTCCCATCTCACCTCTTTGGCTGGTTGGTTGGTTTAGTTAGTGCCAATACTGAGGCTTGAACTCAGACCCTGAGCATTGCCTCTCTTTCGCTCAGGGTTGATGCTCTACCACTTGAGCCACACCTCCACTTCTGGCTTTTTGGTAGTTAATTGGAGATACGAGTTTCACAGACTTTCTTTCCCTGGACTGGCTTCAAATCACGATCCTTAGATCTTAGCTTCCTGAGAGCTAGGATTACCACTAGGAATGAACCACTAGCACCCAGCTAGCCCCCACCTTTGAAATCTCAACTAGACTGTCTTCCTTTCATGGTGAGCTACATGAGAAAGGCTCGGATAGAATGCTCTAGATTCTCACAGATTCACATTATTGCTCATCCCTTAGTTTTCATGCCCTGCGTTTGGTCCTAGAGGGTTGTTGGACTGGCACGTTCCATGCTACCGTTCACGTCCTCTCATAGTGGGAAGGGCAGTGATTCTAGACCACTCAGCCCTCATAGCCAGATTCTCTGATCCAACAAGCCCAGGCCGCGCAGATTTAGTCCTCAGCATGCCTGTTAACATTGTCACCTAGGACTCCTTAGGAAATTGGAACTGTGGGGTTTTATAAGACTCCTGCAGTCTCAGGCAAGTTATTAAAATAAAAGAATGTCAAAGTCTCTGGAGAGCCAAGGAAAAGCACAAGCTGGAAGGACCTCCCAGCTGGAGGTGGAGATCCCATCCCAGCTCGCTGATTTTCTGGGAAGCTCGGAAGCGGAAGCGGGGAGGAAGGCAGCAGGGCTAGGCCCCAGGCAGCTTGTACACACTCCCGTGTGTGTTTGTGTTGTCTTTACTTCCTGGTCCTCAGCTGTCTCCCTTGATTCTGCCTACAGGTTGTGGAAAGGCGGAGAACTCCAGCTGAGATCAGAGAAGAGTTTGAGCGGCTGCAGAGAGAGCGGGAAGAGAGGAGGTTGCAACAGCGAACCAACCCCAAGGTAACCAATGCCGTTCTGGGGAGGGTGGGATGAAAGCTTTACTATGAGAACCAGGGGGGGAATAATGGGGTAGCAATATATAAAACAACAGAGACAATATACAAACCTCACCGTATCTCAAAGCGACACCTTTGTGGAAGGTATCTCCCCTGTAGCTATGGGCAGAGCTGCTACTGGTGACTTGGAGGCCAGCATTTCAAACTGTATGGAAGCTGAGAACCGATGACTCACGCCTATAATCCTAGCTACTCTGGAGACTGAGACCTGAGGATCACAGTTCAAAGCCAGCCCAGGCAGGAAAGTCTGTGAGACTCTTATCTCCAATTAACCACCAAAAAGCCAGAAGTGCCTTAAGCACAAAAGCTCAGGGACAGCACCCAGGCTCTGAGTCCAAGCCCCAAGCGCACACACGCACACACACATACCCCCATTCAGGTGGGAAGATGACACCTGTGCCTGGGATTTCACATGCGGAGCCTTGGGCTAGTTCTCTGAGGCCTCCCCACCACCCCCGAGCCCTCGCCGTGCAGCTCTGGGAGAAAGGATGTCACCTGGACGCCAAGCACTGAGTGAATACCAGTCGTCTCCGCAGCCATGGGCGACCTGGACCCCCAGGGGGATTGAGTGGCTGTGACATTGCAGTCACAGTTATTTTTCAGTCCCTTGTATGATGTCCTTTCCCTTCCACTTGCTAGGGAAGTTGGTCTCAGTGTGTGCCCCATTCTGGTGGCAAATAGGACATCGTGACAGGTTTGAGGTGCCAGCTGTGCTGATGGCTCCTTGGTCGTGGCTGATTTCTGGTCTGTGTTGAGTTGGGCGGGATGGCCACAGGCAGCCTGTGTGGTCATGATAAGACGTGTGTGCCCCTACCCCCCCCAGCCTCCCACCTCTTCTCCATCAGCTCAGCAGGGTTGTTGGCAGGAAGGGGAAGCCATCGGAGATAATGAGAGGCAGCATTACTTAAATCTTCTAAAAAGGTCAGTGGCAGCTTAAACTGGGAAACACAGTATCCTATGATAGAGTTCATGCCACAAGTGTTTTAAAAGACCCCTATAGTACTTAAGGGAGCATATTTTCAGAACAATCCACCTATGGAATCCTGCATTTCCAAGTACATACCGTGGTCTCAGTATCCCTGAGGACCCTTGTGTAGCACCCGTGCTCACCCCCTGGCCCATGTCCAGGTGACTTGTGTGAATAGTGGTGAGCCATGTGGAGAAGAAGCTGCAGAGCAGGCTGGGATGGGAGGAAGCTTGGGAGGTCCTAAGCAGCCAGTAGTGCCTCCCTGAGGGTCTCAGTGCCCCGAGACCCCTCGCATGGTGGACAGGACTCCAGCTCTCTCTGACCTGTCACTCCTGGGGTATCTGGTCCCCCATTCCTTGAGCTTGTGGATGTTGGGTTGCAACTCTGCCAAATTGCTGTCTGTCCTGGGATGGATTCTTTCACATCACCTGTCCCCCATGTGCTTTTGTTACTCCCCTGTCTCTTGGTCGCCTGTCTCCAGTATGCTTCTGTTACTCCCCTGTCTCTTGGGAGAAGAGGCTTTCAGGAGCACACTAAGATAGACACATGTGTTCAATCTCATCAGTATCTATATTGAAGCCAGAGATGGTGTTATTCGAGCCTGGTGTGCACATGCCTGTAATCCCAGGTGGAGTCTGAGGGGTAAAGGCCAGCCTGAGCTATATAACAAGACTCTAGCTCAATAAAGCTGGGGAGGGAAGCGGGGACTAGTTCAAGGAGGTAAAAGGTTGAATCTGATCAAAGTAGATTGTTTGCATGTGTGAACATAGAACAATGACACCTGTTGGAATTGCTTTAGGAAGTGTGCACCAAGAGGAAGTGATAATGGGCTTGACCTCAGAACCTGATGCTCTCCTTTAGCTTTTTCCTCAAGACTAGCACTCTACAGACACTTGAGCCATAGCTCCAGTTCCAGGTTTTTGGTGGTTAATTGGAAATGAGTCTCACAGACTGGCTTTGAACTGTGATCCTCAGATCTCAGCCTCCTGAGTAGCTAGGATTACAGTTATGAGCCACCAGCCCAACAATGCTTTATATTTTTGATTCTATGCCAAAGTTCAAATCTGGGGCTGGGAATGTGGCTTAGTGGTAGAGTGCTTGCCTAGCATGCACAAAGCCCTGGGTTCAGAAAAGGTTGAAAGTGGCATTGTGGCTCAAGGGGTAGAGTGCTAGCCTTGAGCAAAAAGAAGCTCAGGAAAGGTGCTCAGTCTCTTAAGTTCAAGCTCTAGGACTGGCCAAAAAACAAAAACAGAATTCAAATCTGACTTTACTTTTCAGACAGTAACAGAGTATGTATGCATGCATGCACACGTGTCCCAGTTTTAAACGAGCCCTTGGCACCCAGCCAAATCTGATTTTTCATTCCTTTCAAGCTTGTGTTGTTTCATTATAGAAAATATTGCCTGTTGTCTCACAAGTGAAAACGAATAGTAAGTTGCAGTCCAGCCTTTTCGGCATGTTGAGAAAAGAAATCCATCTGTTCTAGTGCCTCGAGCAGTCATTTCCCTAAAGTGGAACAAGAGCGGGAGGCAGCATCTAGGCCTCTCTCTAAGATAAAGAAATGTCCTTGTCACTCAAAGCGCCCGCATCAGTCATTTCCTAGGCAGTTAATTCTATCAACCAAGTCAACCCTTCACCTCATGCTCTCCCCAACTCACTATTACTCTTCTGCTTTGGTCGTTTTCCATAGATTTGGGTCAGCACCAAAGTCTTAAGATCACAGACTCACTGGAGTTTTCCATATCGTGGCCTTATCTAAAGAAACAACCGAGTAGTTGAAGAGTAGTAACTGGGCTGTATTTGTAAATTCTCCTCTGCTGAATGAATTGAGAGGCTTCCTGAGTGGGATATGATGTGCATACCTATAATCACACCGATCACATGCTTGAGGCTAGACTGTAAAAAAACTTAAATTGTAACAATTATGAACACTAAAAACATATGTGGGGCCCAACACTGGTGTCTCACACCTGTAGTCTTAGCCATTCAGGATTTGAGGATCACAGTTCATAGCCAACCCAGCCAGAAAAGTCTGTGAGATTCTTCCCCTCGCCCCCCCCCCCTCAAGGCCTGAACCCAGGGCCTGAGCACACTCCCTTAGCTTCTTTTGCTCATGGCAAGCACTCTACCACTTGAGCCACAGCTCCACTTCCAGCTTTTTTTTTTGGCCAATCCTAGGGCTTGAACTTAGGGCCTAGGCACTGTCCCTGAGCTTCTCGTGCTCAAGGCTAGTGCTCTACCACTTGAGCCACAGCACCACTTCCAGCTTTTTCTGTATATGTGGTACTGAGGAATCAAACCTAGGGTTCATGCATGCTGGGCAAGCACTCTAACACTAAGCCACTTTTCCAGCCCCTAGAGTACCATTCTTGACCAAAAAAGCTAACCAAAAGCACAAGATCTTGAGTTCAAGCCCCCAAAATTAAACACATACAGAGTCGGGATGTGTCGTCTAGAGCAGAGGTGATATTTTTTTAATAAGTTTATTGTGAAAATACTGTACAGAGGGGTGGAGGCAATATTTTTGCAGGTAGCATGTACTTCAGTTCACCACCCTCTGTGTCTCAGTGTCTGTTCTGACTGCACGTTGTGTCTCCACTCTCAGTGTTCTGTGTGTTGTGCCTCCACTGTCAGTGTTCTGTGTGTGTTGTGTCTCCACTGTCAGTGTTCTGTGTGTGTTGTGTCTCCAGTGTCAGTGTTCTGTGTGTGTTGTGTCT